TCTTTCTAAGCCCACAGAAAATTCAACTCCAAATGGCTTTAAGACTTCCATATAAGACTGATACCCTGAATCTCATAGAAGGACAAGTAGGGAATATCTCTGAACTCATTGACATAGGAGGGGACTTTCTGAACAGAATATCAATAGTTGGAAGAATTAAAACCAGTAGCTAATGAAAGGGAACTTCATGAACCCAAAGTTTCTGTACAACAAAGAACACTGTCACTGGAGTGGAAAGGAAGCCTACAGAATGGGAAATAAATATTTAGCAGCTACATATCTAACTGAAAATTAGTAACTAGGATATATAAAGAACTAAAACAACTAAACAAGCAAAAAAGCTAAACATCAAGGAAGCATACAATTTAAAAATGGGGCATGGAAGTAAAGAGATTTCTAAAAAGATGAAATAGACATGAGAGTAAAGAATTTTGAGATGGTTTGTAATTTTATGAAAAACATTTGATGCTGATTTGTGATTAACTCATTATCTACTATACTATAATCTACTCATTATTGAATACTAAAATTATCATACCATGAGATTTATTTGTGGTTAATATAAACTAAAATGTATATGAGAAGATGTTTGTATGTATCTAATATACCATTAGAACACAAGCTAGATAATGAAAAGACAAGTATTTTTAATTTTCAGATATTTTGGTTTGAAAGATTTCACTTTAGTTTAATTATTCTGAAAGTTTTTTTGTTAATGAACTCTTAAACCTGATATTGTTATTAATGATGTATTGCAATGAAATGTCATTATTTTGGTTGAAATAGGTCATTTTTACATCCAAGTTTTATGGCATATTCGAATACCAAGTCAGGAAAATTTCAAACAGACACTTCTTTAGTAAAGGTAAGCTTAGACTTCTGCTCCTGGGCGGTGTGTGTGTGTGTGTGTGTGTGTGTGTGTGTGTGTGTGTGTGTGTGTGTGTAGTGGTGTTTTCCCCATATATGTTCATAGTTTTTAATTAGAAATAGTTATGCATACATTTATATATAGATTGTATATTTTTCTACACATGTATGGTTTCATACTAAGTTACCGTTAGAAGTTGGTTTTTGCATTTTACATTTATTTTTTTAATTTTATTTTTTCATTTTTTTGTAATTATTTTTTTTAGTTCAAATTAGGAACAAGCTTGCTTCACATGTCAATCCCTTCTCCTTCCCCTCCCCCCAACCCTCTACCCCAACTCCCCACTTGCCCCCCACCCCAAACACCCTCCACTCCCCAGGCAGGCTAGGGCCCTCGATAGAGCTCCTCAATGTCCACCACATCATCCTCGACTGTGCCTAGACCCTCCCCCATGAGTCCAGGCCAAGAGTCACACAATATATTTTTGATCATATTCTTTCTCCTTCCCCAACTCCCCCCAGATCGCCTCATCTCCATACCCACCCAACTCCATGTTCTTTTTCTTAAAAGAAAAAAGAACAAAAATCAAAACAAATAAACAAAAACAAAACAAAATACAAAGAACACCAAAATCAAACAACAATAAAAAGCACACACAAGGACCAGCCCCATGCTCAGCAGTAGTTGGTCAGAACAGAAGGATTGTATGACTTTTGTGTGTGCATTTTACATTTATTTTTAAAGTATTATTGTATCACTTGACTCCTGCCCTTTCCTACCTCCAACGTTTCTCCTGCCTCTTCCTTCCAACTGTGGTGATAATAACAAGGTATCCTGAAGGAGCCTAGGCTGGAGGTAAAATCACAATCCTCCTGCGTCCACTCTTCAGTGCTGGAATTCCAGGTTTGTGGTTATCATGAACAACTTGGATTCATTATTTACAAAGTAGGTGTAAGATGCTGCTGTTGGAAAGACAAAGAAACGCTTTTGAATCTACAGTGCTGTGGCTAAACAGATCCCAAATCCAAAGCCCCCGTTTGAACTGCTAGGAAAGCACACTGAGTAAGATGACTGCCCTGGGACTCTGAAATCCCTTATCTGAAAGTACAATTAAACCTTGTCTGAAGTCATCAGGAGTTAGAGGTGGAAAAGAAAAGGCAGGTTGAGGCATCAGGCACACACAAGGCTGGGAATGAAGTCCCACGGGTCCTGAACAGTGGAGGAGACCGTGGGAAAATGGTGAGAGGAGACTCCAGAGGCTGACTGCATACACACCAACACTGGAGGATGATGGGTCAGGGGAAATGAGGTAGCACCCATTGGTTCTCTGATGGAAACAGTGGGCTAGCTCATAAGGGATTCAAAAACAACCCCAGGGCTAAAAACCTTCCAGCACCTTGCATAGCACAAGCTGAAGGGGCGGCGACTATATGCCTGCATTTTACGATTAATTTTGATAAGCACTTATAAATTGTACATATTAACAGGGCCTAGTGTGGTTTTTCCACACGTGAATATTATATCATGTGCAATGAATGAAAACTACTAAACATCGAAAACACAAACAACAACAACAGAACCTTCTGGAGCATCACCATCCAATTTTCAAGTTATACTGTAGAGCTACCGAACTAAAAACTGCATGGCACTGGCATAAACACAGAGAGCCTCTCGGCAGGCTCCAGTGTAGGTATATCTGCTGGCCCCTGAGCTACATGGTACGGTATGCTGCATGGCTCATGTGAGGCTCCTGGGACAGACAGGATTGTCCCTGGTTTTTCTCTTGTTAATTGCTGACCTCGTGATTCGCTGTCTCACTTCTGTCTGAGTGACTTTTCCTGTGTAGGTATTGGATGACACCTTACAGGAAGGTACAGTCAGAGATCCTTCGGAACTCTTCTCTTCCGTGGTTAATAGTGGGTTGGGACCTGGATTGCTTCTTTGGAAAGGGCTGTTGGTATCACTTGAGGAGCAGGCTGCTGTTCCTTTTTGCTTCACATGCACGGTAGTGCAGATCTCCCTGTCTGGGCAAAGCCCTGGAGTGTGAGTACATTGGGCGTCATGCTGAAGGTGTATGTTGGGATTATATGGGCTCTGATGACAGCCCTTGTGGCTGTATCCAGTCTATTACTCCAGTTGTCAGTGATGAGGTTTGGAATGGGGTTTATGCCATGCTAAATAGAGATCTATACCTGGATGCTGTTAATATATAGACAGAGTTGAAGGAGTCATACAGTTGGAAGTGAAGTTTTACAGTGATAGGAACAAAAAGGTCCTGGAAATCACTACAATATAAGTCTATTAGGAGGAAGAAGAATTCACTAAAGGGATTATTAGTGGGGAAGTTTGGGGATCACTAACACTGATAACGTCAAGAGGTAAGAGTGTTAACTACTAATGATTAATTACCTTCCTATTGAGATATTAAGATAAAGCAAGGTGGACAAATGTGAGCTAAATAGTTATGGATTTACAAGATGGCTCCGTGCAAAAAATCATGCAAAACATGATGACCTGAGTTCCATCCCCTGGTCCCACATGGAAGAAGGAGAAAAGTGACCTCTGTTGTCCACTGTGACAGGGGCACACAGACAGGCAAAATAAATAAAAAAATACTTCAAAAAACCCTTCTTGCATTCTTGCATGACTCAGAAAAATTGAATGCAAATGTTCATAATTGAACCCAGCCAAATGCTATAAATCATAAGCTAGTGTGTACAAACTATACTCCTAGGCAATCTTGCTAAAAAGGAAAAGATACCATTAAATAGGGTAAGTAGTGGAAAAAAATTAAGGTTATAGCAACAATATTTCAGAGAGGAAAGTGATGAGGAGTGAAACATAGGAAGGCACTGAGGATGCATGTTCAGGAGAGGAGAGGGACTCTGGACATGGACACACAATGCAATGGCTGATCGTGGATGTTTGCTGACGTCAGGAAGCGGGCATGACCCCGAAGGCGTCCCGTGGGGATCAGCTATGATATTTCTTCTGTTCCTTCTTAGGCTCATTGCTTTTATCAAGGACACGCTGCCGAGATCCCAGCATCAACGGTGACCCTCAGCACTTGCTCAGGTCTCAGGTACCACTCTGGAAGTGTGAACTAAGATTGTATGTCAACCCTCAGTTTCTACCATCTTCTGTGAGAACAAATGAGGCAAAAACAGAGAAAGAAAACAGAAAAAAAAAAGAATACAGAGCTGTTGACAGTGGTGGCTGTGTTTATACACCTCCTTTACTCCCATCTCTCTCTCTCTTGTCCTTTCATGTGCTTTTTAAAGGCCTTTTTGCCTTTTGCCATCATAAATCTTAAGCAGAAAAAGCTCCCATGAGCAGGGAGGGAATTCATATTTCCTAGACACATCAGATCACAATTTTTCTTAAATGCCATAATGGAGGGAGGATAGGTATTGTTGTAATTTAAGAAAAGTATCCAAGACAAAGATGCCATGAGACATCATTTGTTCAAGCAAAGGTTATTTTTGTTTGTTTGTTTTTGTTTTTAATTAGGGAAAGGGATCATAAAAAGGATAAAAAGGAGGTTGGAGACAGTTCTCTGGAGACAGGAGAAGCAGGAGAGGAGAGAGGGTCAGAAAGAGAGGTAGAGAGGGAGAGACAGCAGAACATAGAGAGGAGAGAAAGAGAGAGAGGATGGGAGGTGGGCAGGGCCCTTTTATAAGTGACAATAGTGAATGTGCACAGGTGGTGTTCTTAGTGGCTGCAGCTGAGAGTGTATCCTGTCACAACCCCAAGGACAGACCAGTACAGATGCCTAAATACTAACAGGTATAACAATGGGTTTTAAATTCAATAGATAAAGAATTTATAGAAGATACTTTTAGCGTGATTTCTCAGTGGGAAGCCTATACTAAATGTGCTTTATTTTCTTTATATGTTTAGGGGCTTGTTGCAGTTAGAGAACATCACTTATGGAATTGAGCCATTAGAGTCATCAGCTACATTTGAACACATGATTTATCAAATAAAGAATAATAAAATTGATTATTCCCCCTTAAGAGAAAATTTAAATTCCCAGCATGAAAGTCAGTCCTACCGAATTCTTGTAAAACCAGAGGTGAGTTTGTCCTTCATTTGTGCTATTTACATTGAAATTTTGAGATTGTGTATATTGGGAAAACAAAGTCAAACTGTTGTACAGTAATTATTTTAAGATATCATTGGTTTCCTCAGGTAGTCTAAAGGAAAGAACAAGTAGACATAATTTTTAAAAACTCATCAAAACTTGTCAGTGTCATTTGTATAGTGATTTATGGATCCTTTAAATAGATTCTCATAGTTGCTATTTGTGTGGGTTTGCATGCTGTTAACTTACTCAGTCCTGGATTTACTGACTGATACTTTGTATTTTCTTTGTCAATTCATTTGCTTTGTAAAAAAAAGCATTACTTTGCCATACACTTTAAAAGGAAAATGAGTCATGACAATAACCAGGACTTTGGCATGTTTGCTCTCAGATGGTTTGCCATAAATGCACAGTCACAAATGTCTAGACTTTTTAAGGAAAAATAATCCAGTCAGGGTTTTTTAAATTGTTTTCACTTTTTCTATGAAAAAGATTTCATATTTTTGCTTATTTTACATTTGTTACTTTCTAAATTAAATAATATTGGCAAGTAAATCTATTAAAATGCTAAATGAATGGGTGTCTACGGAAAAATTTAAAATAAGAATGGACCAAACTATTATTTTCTCCAGCCAGGAGCTGCCATGGGATGTACTGTCTTGTTTTGCAGTGTGCTTCTACTCTGTTTCTGACATAAATATATAAATGCATACTGATTTTAATTGTAAAGTATATACTTTATACACTTATGGCAGCCTCACATTAAAATTTTCCCTTTAATTGGTAAATTAATTTGATAGAAACAAAAATTAACTTTTCTTATAAATAATGTCAGCCAAGAGCAGGCTCTCTTCCAAAGAGATTGTTGGTATGCATCTTAACATCTCCATTTACAATGTGTGCTCACCTTCTCATTTGAACATCAGTGGCTAAATAAGTTAATTTCTAGGTATACATTCTTATCATATAAAACAGAAGTAAGAAAAAACCTGGTGAATGAAGCTTGAATCTAATTAATGACAAACTTCCTTTCACCATTCCCTTACCTTGTTTTTATTTAATTTGTTGGAAGTGTCAATTTGAATAAAAGTTGACAAACTAATCACAGAAATCCATAAAACTGACAGTCACGAACTGAACAACAAAGTTGTACTCCTCCCATGAGAAGGACCTTGTCAAATCAGTTAAAGGCTGAAAAGAAAACTTACTCTCATATACATAGTCTTTGGATCCAACCGGAACCTCAATGTCATGTCCTTCTGGATCTCCAGATGGGAGGTCCTGCCTTGGAACAGGTCCAGGGTTCTGGATTCCTCTTTAGACATTGGACTAAATGGCCTCTATGATCACAGAAGCCATATATGCACATTTCATGTTATTAAACATTATGTATTGAAATAAATAAGCCTTGTTACAATAAATGTTCAAGAAGCCACAAACCAAATCAGTAATGAGATATAATGTGGATAATATATTTCATCCTAAAAATAAGTAATTCCATACCCAACCAACTTATCTTCTATTGAAGACATTCAGAAAAAAAAAAAAAACAAACATTAAATTGAAGCACCTTTAAAACAGCCAAGGTTGCCGGGCGTTGGTGGCACACGCCTTTAATCCCAGCACTCGGGAGGCAGATGCAGTTGTATCTCTGTGAGTTCAAGACCAGCCTGGTCTACAAGAGCTAGTTCCAGGACAGCCTCCAAAGCCACAGAGAAACCCTGTCTCTGAAAGCAAGCAAGCAAACAAACAAACAAAAACAAACAAACAAACAAACAAAAAGCCAAAGTTATCCTTGTTTACATTATGATAGCAAACAATTTCTTTCCAGTCAAACTGTCTTTAGAGTATTTAAAGAATTTATCTGTCATCCCTGTTACTGAAATAAGTACAGTAAGCAGTCCTAAACCAGGACCCTTAACAGACATGTGGTTACCCGATTGAAGTTTTTTATTATATTGATGGGTTTTTGTTTGTTTGTTTGTTTCACAGAAAGCTGAAAATGTATCACTAATGAAGAGGACCCTGCGGGTGAAGATTGTTATGGATAAAGCAATGGTAGGACTGACCTGTCTGTCTTCTTGAGGTCTTGGTTTTGTAGTGAGATTGAGTAAGGATTGTGAATATAAAACTTAAACTAACTTCCTTCCTTCCTTCCTTCCTTCCTTTCTTCTTTCCTCCTTCCCTTCCTCCCTCTCTCCCTTCCTTCCTTCCTTGCTTGCTTCCTTTTGAAGTATCTTTATTGTATGGGTGCAGTGTTTTGCCTGCATTGTGGAAGGCTGTGGACTATGTGCATGCAGTACTCTTAGCGTCCAGAAGAGGGAGGCAGATCCACTGGAACTGGAGTTACACAAGGCTGTGAGGGGCTCTGTGAATTTTGGGGTTTGAATTAAGGTCCTCTAGAAGGGCAAAGTGCTCTCAGCTGCTAAGCTATCTTTCCAGTCTGCATTTCACAGTTTTATACAAATGTTTTTTACTCTGTTCAAATGTCAGTCATGATGATATGTGCCAATAATCCCAGCACTTAGGACGGGAGGCAGAGAGGCTGAGTTTCCTACCACCCAGGGCTACCGTAGGAAGATCTTGTGTCAAAAGACAAACATTTCTTTCTCTGCTCAAAATAATGTGCCAAAGCCTTGCAGTGCATAACGACTTCTCATCAGTCGTCCTTGCACTGGCGTGAGGGCATGATAGCAATGGCACATGGCTTTGCATGAACAGGGTCTACTGCACCATCGCCCATCTTTAGCAGAGACTAGCAGGTGCACCTCAGTTTTTATTGAGACTAGATCTCATTTCCATTATACTGGAAGTAGTTCATTAAGTACTAAATTGGATTAAATTTTCCAAATATTTATTTCCTGAGCTTACTTTATGTGTCATAGCCAGCTGGCTTGTTGAGTGGAAGCTCCATGTTTTACGGATGAAATGGCGGTTTGCTAGCACTCCAGTTACTTTGCACTCTCCTCTCCAAACAGTGCTGCACACTTCCTTTCTTCCCCCACCGGGTTGACCTCATTTGGTGTCAGTACTGACTTTCTGTGTCCCCTCAACATCCTCTGGTTCCCAGCATCCAGCCCACGGTGCATTGAGTCACTTAGTCTCATGGTGTGAATCCATTCCACCACCCTCTGCCTCACCACACTGAAATCTCACTTAAACAGTCATTTCTGTTTTGCCTTAGTTAATGTTTACATGTACCATAGTCTACAGAATAAATGATTTAATTAATTCTCCAGTTTCTATTTTTCTTTTAATGAAAACACATTTTTCTTTTAATACAATTTGATTATAGTTTCTCCTTCCCCAACTCCTCCAAGAGCCTCCCCAAAACGCTCCCGTCCAAATCTACACCTTTTCAGTTTCTCCTAAGAAAACAAACAGGCATCTAAAGAATAATTACAAAATAAAATAAGATAAAACAAAGCCAAAAGAATCAGAATAGGACAAAAAAGAAGTAGTAAAAGATAGCAAAAACACATATGAAACACATATAGGTCCAGAAACACACAGGATAAAAATACAGGAATTCCATAAAAACCCTAAACTGGAAGCCATAATATATCTGAAGGACTTGTGATGTTAAAAGAAAATAAAGAAATAATGCCCTGACATACATTATGAGATAAGGCACCTCTAAAGAGGTTGGCCATCGACTGCTGGGCACCGGGCCTGCCTGCCCTTAAGAGTGGTTTGTTTCCACAGTGAGACTTCCTTGTCAGAAACTAAGTTTTCATTTGCAAGCCATATCCATTGGAGACAGCTTTGGGGTTAGGGAAGGGGACATGTGCCCACTTCTCCTCTTAGCACTGGGATCCCATCTGGTGCAGGTCTGTGCAGGCCCTGTGCATGCTGTCTCAGTCTCTGTGAGGTCTTTGTGCATGGATCCTGCTGTGTTAAGAAGGCCTTGTTTTCTTGGTATCCTCCATCCCCTCTGGCTCTGACACTCATTCTGCCTCCTCTAGCCCCAAGGGAAGAGATCAATGGGGCTATCCCATTTAGGATTGGGTATTTCCCTCCCAGCATTTGTCCATTTCTGGGTCTCTGTATTCATCCCCATCGGCTGCCATCAAACAGTATTACATATTTCGTATGAAGTAGTCTGTGTCCGATTAAGCACCATTGCCAGGAGTTCATCGCTCACTTTCTCCTGAGCTTGTGGAAGAGTCTGCAGCTTTTGTTCATTTGAAATTGTCTTAGCATTTCAAGTTTGAACATTTTAGCCTTTTAAACAGTTTTGGTTTTTGGAAAAAAATACACCATTAAACTTTCAGGAAGTTGTAGCAAGAATACCTCACAGAGCAGCCTTTTCTTGTCACCTGTGTTACCGTCAAGTAGTCTTCTGCTGTCATCTGTGCTGTCTCCATTTGAATTCGAGAGCAAATTTCCAGTTACATCACAGGGATTATGATGAACAACAGCACAGCAGCATTTTCTGACTCTGAGGATGAGCCCTCCATTGCCCTGCATTTACACAGCTGGTCTCAGTAAGACTGTGTTTTATACTTATGCATAGTCTGTCCTTGCTACTTACAAGTTTCTATGCAGGCATATTAAAGCTAACTTTTGCCTTGGTGTCTCAAACCTCTACTGTTAATTTGCTCGCTACTAAATATAACCATGTAAATTATAAATGTAGTTAACACACAATCATAAACAATATTTGCAGACAGTATGATGACTATCATCTCCTTATATGAAGGTATACTCTGGTAGCTGGCCACTAGCTGGGACACACGGTGCGTTTCTTTAATTGCAATGAAGCCCTGATGATAGAGACGTGAGTGCGGTCACAGTGAGTCAGTGACTAGACTCCTTGATTTTGTCCTCATCAGTTATGTGCTCTGGAACTTTAACACATCCAATCTTAGTTTCTGTGCCCCTGAGGAGGAAGTTCCTCACAGCTATCCCTTCTAATAGTCTTAATCATTAAGACCCTGGGGTTTTGTGTAAAACACAGGATAGACAGTAACTAGGAAACTTTAACAGGCACGGAGGATTAACTGACAACCAATTTTCACAAATTTTCACTTTGCCTCTTCAGTTGAGTACTGCATGATTTTAACTGAAACTGTATCTGAAACTGTATCTGAAACTATCAAAGAGTGATTGTTTGATCAGTTATATTGGTAATCGAGAAACAAACTTGTCTTTCAGTTTGACCATTTGGGCTCTGAGATGGGAGTTGCGGTTCAGAAAGTTGTTCATATGTTTGGTCTCATTAACACCGTGAGTACTTCTGCTGTCATTGAAGTAAGAGAATAACGCTAACCCACTGACAGGGTTTTTGTGAGTAGTTGTGTGGCTTTGTGAAATGTGTACTCCTCCCTGCACTTTGCCCCATGAGCTGGGTTGTCTCCTCATAGCAATCAGGTGAATGGAAGACCAGCATTCACAGACAGGGCAGGATGACTGGCCACTCACACTGAAGAGTGTCCTCTTTTCAGATGTTTTCCGAGCTGAAGATGACAGTGATGTTAACCTCTCTAGAGATCTGGTCAGATGAAAACAAGATTGAAACAAATGGGGATGCTGATGAAGTTCTGCAAAGGTTTCTGGTATGGAAACAAAATCAGCCATCTGAAAGAGTCAAGGTTATCATGTATTTACTCCTGTAAGTACTTTATCTACAACAATGGGGACTTGACTAATTGTTTAATGTCAGCTGTCAAAGTTGTGTTTCTGTAACTGTGCCAGCATAAGCAAAATGTAAAGATCTGACCATGTAGTCAAATGCAGTCCTCCCCCTACCAAACCCTATCACTCCATTCCACCCTGGCACTGAGGTGGGAGTATGAAAAGCAGCAGGGTGAATGTGGGCCTCTGTGTTTATAAAGACCTCACCAGGAAATGTTCATACCATGATGTTAATGCTATGAAAACAGTAATTACCCATTTTTCATGTTGCTGGTTTAAAAGGTAAATAACTGAACTGGACCAGTCACTTGCCTGCACCTATGGCTACTCCCAGTTTCTATAGTGACCTGAGATGTAGCTGTTAGCTACTTGCTGTGCATGCTTCAAGAGTCTTACTGTGGGCTTCAGCATTGCTCACTCAATCAGTTTGCATGGAAACAGGAGACATTCACTCAGGAAGATCTCAAGAGCTATAAAAGGAACCATATGTCTTCTGTTGCCTCCTATTAGGTTCAAGGTCAGGCTTGGGTATTTGAAGGCAACACTAATGGCTAATTTCTGCATACTACCTCTTTTTTTTTCTTGGTGTACCTCTCTTTCTTTCTCCTTCACCTCTGGTCCAACACTGTATAAAGACTTGTCCAATATGTGAAAAGCTTGACAATAAGATAACACTGGCCTTTAGATTTTAGAGTCAATGTCCATCCAGTGATGGGGATCCTGTGGGACAGGTCATGGAAATACTATGTGTCTCTAGGTTTTGGATAGGGTGTCATAGAATCTTAAGCATCAAATTAACTTAAATTCCTATCAAATATGGAGGACATACTATTTGTGTTTTTACTAATTAATGAATGGTTGGTAGCATGAAGCATATGGCATGCTGAATACCATGTTTTAAAGATACAAAACTTCCAGAAAAACACTGTTTAAATGTCCTTTCTAGCAACATTTTGGAACAAGTGCACTGACATAAAATTTCACTTTAGGTATAAGGATTACCCTGATTATATGGGAGCAACATATCACGGGATGGCCTGCAACCCAAAGTTCACAGCAGGAATTGCTCTGGTATGCCTTCTGTTGTCCCTGTCCCTTGAAAGAAAAGACAAAGAATGCATTTGTATACTTTTGGCAAATTTGTATAATAGTATTTTTTAGGCTTTTAATGTTATAACTTATAAAAGAATTGGTCTGGTTGAGAGACACACCCTGAATTTGTGATTTTAACCAGTTCTGTGGTGCTATTGTAAAATAAGTCTCAAGATGTGTTCACCTTATTAAAAATGAGTCTCCACATCAATCAACAAAACCACTCCTGTGTCCCAGGTGATGGCACTCCATGTTCTCCTTCTACTGTTACAACAACTTTGGTGATCTTCTTTGATTCTCTTTCATTACATGTATATCTCATAGATTTTGTTGTTTACCATTGTACTTGGCCAAAATATTAAATTTAAGTCAGTTATAAATAAAATTTTATTTCAATTTTAAAAAACTCTCAGGCAATTTCTAAAGTAAAAATCAATTGCCAATTAAATCTTCATGGTCTAAATTTTTTTTCTATTTTTTTTCTCAAAAAACAGTTATTAAGATTATTCTACTTCCCAGAATGTTTTTATATTTTTTGAATTCTATACAATAATATGCCATAAATGTAAGGTTTTATGCAGCAACTTTATTTTTCCTATCTTTCAGCTCCATTTGGACTAAAAGATTATTGCTTAAAAACGAATATCACAATTTGCTCATTTTCTTTTGCATGGGTTTCTGTGAGGAAACCTCAGAAATCCATGGGACCTCCTGTAGAAGTCCAGTATTTATCACTAGCATAGGTGTGGACTTTGGGAGCCCATTTCATATAGAGGAATACTCCCTGAGCCAAGACACATGGGGATGGGCCTAGGCCCTATCCCAAAGGATACAGTAGAAACTGATGACACCCTATGGAAGGCCTCACCATCCAGGGGGAGCAGAAAAGATATGTGACAGATAAGGTTTTAGTTGAGGGGATAGGGGTGGGGAGGGGAAGACGGGTGGGAGAAGGGAACTGGAATTGTCATGTAAAACAATCCTGTTTCTAATTCAAATAAAAAAAAGTTGGAAAAAGAAAAAAATACAAAAAAAAGTTTTGCTAGTCTATTTTCTTGACTTTGCATTGTCATTTAGGAACCATTGCCAAATAAAGCCTGACAAAGCAAACAGGAAGAAGCAGGAGGATTGCAGGAGGAGGAGCAGGAGGACTGACACACTAATTCTGTTCCTTTTATCTGCCTAGCACCCAAAGACCTTAACCGTGGAGGGCTTTGCTGCTGTCCTATCCCAGCTGCTTGGGATTAACCTGGGCTTAACATATGATGATGTCTTCAACTGCTTCTGTCCTGGAAGCACATGCATAATGAACCCTTCAGCAATGTAAGGGGCCTTTCCAGGTCATGTCTCTGTAGAAGCTTAGGAAATACTTGCTGTGTTCTGACATACACTTTGTCAAAGTATCACCGATTAAGAACAGCTTAAATGATTGCATCCACAATAATTTAAAGCACACAGAAGAGGACAAGCTCATGGTATTACAGAAAACATGCTTGCCAGTTCTTAAGAGTCAACAGCCAGTACGCTGCTAGTATACAGAGTGAGTGGGAGTTTATGGGCTCTTTTGTCAGCACTGTCGATATGCTTCTATGGAAGAAACGCAACAATGCTGAAATAGAGAAGGCTCAAAGTCTCAGCAGACCCGAGGATAAGGAAATTTAGCTGTGTACATTGGGGCACAGGGAGATAAAAGTTTACAAAAAACTTAGAAGCTACTGAGACTATAAGGAGTTATTGTAGGGAGACCAAACACAGTCTCTGGGGGAGAGGAATGTTCTCATAATCATCCATAGGAATTTATTAACACTGAGAGTAAGGCCTTGGAAGAATCACTTATAGACAGGCTCTTGGCTATCACAGTTCACTACTAAATCTTGAAATACTCTGAACAGTTTCATTTGTTGCATCTGGCTTACTATTAGTTTTCTGTTAGGCTTTCCAAGCCATTGGTTAAGATAAGCTGTACAGATTGGACTTCAAGTCAAGTGTTCTAGAATGCTCAAACCTTCAGCCAATGGGAGTGAATTAAAATTATGGGCAGATGGTGTTGAGAGAAGTCATGAGGTGAAAGGAGAAGCTATGGCCCCTGGGTGGGGATGGGGGTTGCTGAATGGAATCTTCCCGAGGGAGGAGGAGCCTGTGGGATGAATGAAGGAGACTATGGAAGCCATGAGTTTTGGTCTCCCCAGAGGCTTTCATGTACCAGAGAGGGAAAAACTGAACTGGGGGGGGGGAAGCCCTCTTCATTACAAGGCAGGGGACGTGGCAGCTATCCTACTCCACACCTGCATTCCAGCTTTTTGTAGGGACAATTCTTTTGAAACTAATGTGCTATTTTTATTTGTGTCCTGAAGCTGAGGCCTCGAGCACTCTACCTCCCTCCACTTTCTGTATGTTGATCCTAACAAATTACAATAGAAAGAAATGCACTGCTTTGGTTATAACTGGCCAGCATTATAACCAGAGTTGGCTCTGCTTTAAAGTGAATATTCGGGAATCGTACAATTTATGTTACTTGGATAACAGTTGCATTTCATTTATCTGAGGGATATTAATTTATTTTTAGACGTTCCCAGGGAATCAAGGTTTTTAGCAGCTGCAGCATGGATGCATTCAAACAGCTGGCTTCACAGCCTGATCTAGACTGCCTCCGGGAGAAACCAGAGCCAGAGTTTGAAGCTCTGCCCCAAATCAGAATATGTGGCAACTTCAAATTGGATGGATATGAGCAGTGTGACTGTGGCCCTGCAGAGGTTAGTGAGACTGTCCCGACTCATCCCAACACTTGGTCTATGTGTCATATCCACTCTTGTAGATTTACATGTAATGGAAAAGGGGAGAACATCATTTGACAGCAGGCACTCAAGATTTGTAGAACATGCAATGTTTGTCTTTCTGGGTGTAGATTACATCACGATCAATCAAAGTGCAGAGTTTTGGGGGCCAGTCCCAATGGATACATTTATGGAACACTACCATGGCTAAGTCTCGGGACATTGTGGAAGAGAGGGTAGAAAGATTGTAGGAGCCAGAGAATCGGGGAGTTTGCTATGAGATTGTGTCTCCTAGTGATATAGGACTTGTATCCATAAAGTCTCACCAACATGACTGTCTAAACATTTGGTGAATGAGGAGGGGACCAATGAAAGTGTTAAAGCAAAAGGGGAAAAACCCATGAGGCCTCAGCCCTACACAGAGACCTGCCCATGACTAAGGAATGCTGAGGGGGATAAATAATCTTCTCCGGGGAGGAACACAACAATTGGTTATCCAATACCAACATCCGGCCCTGACAACATACATGCAAGTAACATTCCATAGACATGGCAGGCGATATTTAAGAATATATATGTATACACACACATGCATTTATCAACAAATAATGTATATACAAATATGCATATAATAATGATTGATGGGAAAAGAGGCCATGAAGATGAAAGAGAGCAAGAAGGGTACCTGGGAGGGCTTGGAAGGAGGAAGCAGAATGGAGAAATATTGTAATAATACTATAATCTCAGAATAATTTATTTATCTTTCAAAACATTATGTGGGGTTTTACTTTTTACTACCATATTTTTCATTATCTAAGACAATTTTCAAGTGCAAACACATTTTGATAACATTCTTACCTTCTTTTAAGTCTCTCTAGGGTTTCCAACCTTCCTAATGCTTTAGCCCTTTAATATAGTTCCTCATTTTGGGGTAACCCCCAATATTTTCATTACTACTTCACACTGTAATTTTGCTACTATTGTGATTTGTAATGTAAATATCGGATACACAGGCTATCTTATGTGCAATCCCGTGAAAGGGTCGTTTGATCCCCCAAGGGGTTGAGACTCCAGGTTAAGAACCACTCCTCCAGATCCTTTCCTAATTCCAACCTACCCAACTTTAAGTTCTTTGTTTGAAAATAAGTAAAACTGCCATACAACAACAACAACAACAACAACATCAACAAAAACCACAAGCCAAGAAAACAAAATAAAACCACATGCAAAAAGAGAAAAAAAAACCATAAAAGATAAATATTTAGAAGACAATTTGAACTATATCCATGTGGCAAAATGGTAGTCACAGGTTCTCTCTTAAGGCCTATGACATGTCCAGCCAGGAGTTCTTGGCTCCAATTACAGTGCCAGGCATTATCCCTGATCACAAAATAGCTTGTTGCCCCTATAATGTTCATGCCACCTTGTGTTTCTCATTAAGCCAAATGTTTTAGCTCTCAAGTTTCATGGGTAAGTAGGATGGCTGATGGCTGTTCATTCCTCAGTAGCCTGAATAGCACCTTATGAAAGCTAGCCAGTAGGAAGGAGGTCAGGCTTGGTTCCTCCATGTCTTGTGATCAAAGTATGTGATATCTTCAGAAATGGAGTCCTTTCATCAGGTTCTATTGGATGGAATGGCAATGGCAATGTATTGTGTGTGTGTGTGTGTGTGTGTGTGTGTGTGTGTGTGTGTGTGTATGTGTGTGTGTGTGTTTGTGTGTGTCAGATTCTATGAGACCCATTGACCAACAACTATGAGGGGCTACTCCACACCTGCTAAGTGAATTTTTTGTGTGATAACCTATTGCATCTGAAAGAGGCATTAGCCCTCCGTGCGGTATAAGTGCATCTAAACTCATATGTATATATTAGGAAACTTTGAAAATAGCATATTTTTAAATAATCTATTAGTTGTTATTGTATAAGCATTCTATAAGAAAGTATGCATTAAAGATAATAAAATGACATCAATCCACTGTATTGGGATAGTCCAGTAAGTTTGGGAAATGTAGTACAGGTATTTTTTTCTTTCTGTCCTCCAGGATAATGGGTTTAGTGTATCAAACATTAGCTATAAACAAAATCAGCAATTTTATGACAGTCATACCACCATTGATTTTCATCATCTGGGTCTTTTTTTGTACTGTAGCTTTTAATAAATAGAAGCTGTTAGAGTCAGGATAACTTATTTCCCCTCCCCTGTATGATATCCAATTAATTGGGGTAATTTGTTGAAAAGACTACCTTTTCCAAATTAATGTATCATGGTGCCTTTAGGAAGAAATGATTGTCTATTTTATAATTTTAATATATATTCTGAAATAATATATGCTTTTAAGTACTAAACACATATTGTGTGTTTTTCATAGTCCCCAAATAAAGTTTTTTCTTTCTTATGGCCCCTGGCTAAGAAAGAGCAACCAGAGTGAGTACCACAGTGTGATGAGAGGAGTCAGAAGGGGGAAAAGAGTGTGTTCAGGGGTCTATTATGTTCTCAGTAGAAAAGGTGAGTAAGGGACTGCAAGCAGTAGGACTGGTGAATTTGAATACTAAGGGTTGGCTCTTCCCTCACAGGTAGGTCCCAGTTGCCAAGTACGTGTCCCAATTTGTAAGAGCTTGACAAAGGAGGCATTTACTTTGGTTTGGTCAGTTTGAATGTAAAAGCTGTTGTAAAAAAATGGTTGTAACCATGTAGCTTATTTAAAGAAATTGGCAACAAATAAAAAAACAAACAAAAAACCAAAGATGAAAGAAAACACACAGGAGCCTTGACCTAGCCTAGACACACAGGATGAAGTGAAACACCATCATCCCCCTGCCTCTGTCCCATGGTCAGGGATATAGCGATGAGTGCATGTTAACCTGAATGGAGGAAGGCTTGTCATGAACACTAGTGTGTATTGCATAATTCGGTGACTTTGGCCACAGTGTCAAGAGATGCTAGAAACCTTTAGCTCCACTACAACTTTAGGAGGCCACATATTTAGATACGCTGTGTTGTTGGCAGGGCTGTGACTATTAGGGGATGCCTGTTAACTAGTGAAGATTTATTGGGAAGCCCACAATGGGATAAAAATCAGATATCCGATTTCTAACTCCTACATTGACCTGGACCATGTTTTCTTCTCTAGAAATGTACTCACAAAAATTGCTGTCACCCTGAAAATTGTACTCTGACAAGGTCTGCGCAATGTGGAACAGGGGCCTGCTGTGACAAAAGGACATGCAAGGTAAGCCTCACACACAGAACCTTTCAGGAATCTTTAGTATACTTCCTTCCTAGTTTTTAGAACCATCCTTCAAATGCTTTAATTTGCATTCTCTTTGGAGAGCTTTCTTTTGTTCTTAAGTCTTAAAAGTCAGAATATGAACAACCATTTGGAGCACTTCCTCCCCCATGAGGAAATGAGGAGTAGATACAAAGGATATTTTCTAATTTCCAATTTGTCCTTAATTTCAGCCTGTGGGTCACTTTTTCAACTCTGCTTTTTATTGCATTTAAATGTGTCCCAAAGACATCTCCAGCTGTGGGTATGGAGTATCATTCAAAATTGTCATGCCATGAATTTTTCTTTGTCCTGTCTGAATACAGTTCTTTATGTTCAAATAATGTATAACAAAATGAGAACTAAGGAGGTTCATCTGACAAAGAAGCAATAACAAATCCCATTCTGAAGAACCATTAAAAAGGGATTGGGGCACGTAAGCTGGTGGCATGCAGCAGATAAACATGAAAGCTTGGCTCTGGCAGGGTGTCTTCTCTGAGTCCTGATGGTTAGAACCATATGTTTTCTAGGTGCCTGAACAGAGAGGCACATGAAGGGCATTCACAGACCTTGCACTTCTCTTACTAGAGCCTGTCAACTAATATCACTAAGTTGGGCTCTTCCATACAGCCCATCCTTCCGTAGTGAAAATCCAGAGGTCTGGTCATTAGGGAGAGATCCACGGAGAACAAGTTAATAGGCACTATGAGTCCATACTCATTTTTTCAGATACAATAAACTGGAAGTAGAGCCTTGCTCACAGATGCTCTACGTTATCACCTTGTCTTTACTGACTGAGTGGAGAAGGCCCTATTCTCTTCTTTGTGTTCTTGCAAATAGGTGAGTTTCCTCTAGACCTTGTCCAAAAGTTTAGCGATTTGATCCAAGTGTGTTCCTTAAGGCTTTCTGTTTAGACACAAGTGCACATGAAAAGCTATGATGGATATCAATGGAATCAGCTGGTTCACCCACAGGTACTAGTGAGAAAGATGTTTGGAGCCAACACCTAGACACTCTTAGAGGCCACTGTGAGTGCAACTGGCATCATATTATAATTATGTTCCCCAGTGTGTAGACAAAAAAAGATAATGAGTCCTTGAGTGGCATCTTCATTCTGTGTGTATTTTGGGAGTCTATTTTCTTGATGGTTCTCAAACAAGCTCTGTTCCTATGTAGAGCTCCATTTCTGCATCTTTTCTTTCTTTCCTTTTTTTTAAAAAAACTGATTTTTAGTCCATATGGCATGATTTTTCAAAGGAATAGAGAAATCTTCTCTTGCCTACCTTCCAGAAAGTGGAGAACCAAGTCACCCTGACAAAATCTAGCCTGTTATTCATCTTTCAGATAGCTGAACGAGGGCGTCCTTGTAGGAAAAGTACGGACCTGTGTGATTTCCCTGAGTTCTGCAATGGATCATCTGAATTCTGTGTACCTGACACAAAATCTGCTGACCTAGAACTCTGCAACAACAAGACAGCCTATTGCTATGGTGGGATTTGCCAAGACTTGGATAGGCAGTGCATGGATATATTTGGAAAACGTATGAGATGTACCTTGTTTTTTGGTTTTGGTGGGATGCTTTTATAATTGCTGCTATTTGTTGAAAGCCACAAATCTATCCTATAGCCTTATTATAAAATATTGATCTACACCCATATTTGAAAATCAAATCAAAGCAGTTCCTATCTATGTCAAAAAGGAAAAGACTATAACATTGAAACCATATAGGATATGAGTCAGGGTCGAGGCCATTGGTGAGAGAAGAGTAGAGTATTAGTGTATGGCCTTAGAGAGAGAGAGAGTGGCTTTTTCAACAGTTTTCTTTAACAGATTACTTTTTTTTTTCTGGGTAGTTTTTGGTTGATTCTTGCCATTTACACTTCCAGACACTGACTCCCATTTACACTTCCAGACACTGACTATCTCAGTATAAATGTCCTACACTTTTAAGTACTGTGAATTACTTTTTGGCTTTTAACATGAGAAAGTTGAAATCCTCTTTTTTTTTCAGATGCTAAGGGTGCTAATTATTTGTGTGTGGAAGAAGTGAATAATCAACACGACAAATTTGGAAACTGTCATGGACACTGCAAGTATGAGTATGTACTCATCAAATTGTACATTTTCAATGTGTGGTTTGTGCAGTGCAAAGAGGTGCACCTAGTGTTTACAGGCGGGTCACATGTTGCCTTTCATAATAGATACATGTTCTCAACAGCTTGCAATTATGGGTTGCCTTAAAGTTTTGAATTATCCTTGTATATTGAATTATTATTGAACTAATGGATAAGACAGCTAAGTGACAATATGCAACTTTTCTACCTTGTATTGCCAGTGAACTGTTTTGTGGAAAATTGATTTGCTACTGGAACCATGAAAAAATAATTCATAAAGAAAGTTATGATATCCAGTATACTTACATTGGAGGCCAAGTATGTGTGTCTGCACACTTAAGAGACGGTAACGCACAAGATGATACCTATGTACGCGAAGGTACTATTTGTGGTGAAGGCAAGGTAAATACACTTTTAATTGATGTTTATGCATTGTGTGTGTTTATAATGTATTTAAGAATGCCTATGAATGTGAACATACATACACGTGAGTGTGTATGTAATTTCTCTTGCTTTATCACAATAACGAAGTTTAATGGTGTATAACTAAAATGATGTAACAATATCCATTGTTTGTGTGCTAACCAGTAATTAATATTTAAAAGGAAAATCTGATTGCTATTGGTCAAAGAAGCTTTCATTTTGTTAATATTTTTCTTAGGAATTTGGCTATTGATAATTAAACTTGTTTTCTCTCACTTGGATTTCTAAACTTCCTTCTTAGGCTAGGATCTGGTCTGCAATAATTTATACAAGCCATGAACAAAAGGAGTCTAAAAACATACTGAAAAAAATCACAACCAAATGTCACCAAAATGTCAGGTTGTCAGAATAATGTGAATACTAAAGAGAAACGAAAGGGCCAAGTATTTAGTCAAAGATAATTATTACTAACTAATAAAGTACATCATGTACTTTTCTACTTTCATAATACCCTAACACTCCCAAACACAATCATTACAAAAGAAAATTTCCTTCTATGAGACAGAATAATAAAACATAAGGTTCAAGTGTCATTTATTTTTTCTTTTTGATGAAAATTCCCCAAAGTGTAAGAAAGTGTTCAGATAAGTAATTGTAGGGCTTTAGAGCAAAAGTATAGTCTGAGGCTGAAAGAAAAAAAAAAAAACCTTGAGAAGTACCTAAGTATTCCCATAAGACATTATTTTATTTTATTCAACAAAGGAATCTCAAATGGCTGAGAAGCAGGTGTTCCACATCCTTAGCTGTCAGGGAAATGCAAATCAAAATGAATCAGATTCCATCTTAGTCCTGTCGGAATGGCCAAAACACAAATGATAGCTCATGATGGAGAGAATGTGGAGTAAGGGGAACACTCCTCCATTGCTGGTGGGAGTGCAAACTCGTACAGTCAATTAGGAAGTCTCTGTGGTGGTTCCTCAGGAAACTTAGAATTAACCTAGCACAAGACCCAGCTATACTGCTCTTGGATATATCCAGAAAGGATGCTCAATCATACAATCATACCACAAGGACACTTGCCCAACTATCTGTTTATTTGTATTAGCAAGAACCTGAAAATAACCTAGATGTCCCTCTACTGAGGAATAGATAAAGAAAATGTGATACATTTATACAATGGAATACTACTCAGCTGTTAAAAACAAGGATACCAGGAAATTTGAAGCCAAATGGATAGAACTAGAAACAAATCATCCTGAGTGAGGTAACGTGGACCAATAAAGACAAACATGGTATCTACTCACTCATAAATGGATATTGTCTTGTTACTTGAATTTTGGGGAATCCCTTTGTGGTAGCCAAATGATATATAGTAAAGCAGGGTCTCCTCCACTTGGGGTTCTTAATCTTGCTAATAAAAGAATTTAAGAAGGGCTCAAATGAAAGCTCAAGAACAATTTTATTAGCATTGAAAAGATAAACCTCAGCACAGGCACGGTACCAGGGCGCAGGGAAGGAAGGATATCTATGCCATCTATGCTAGATGGTCAGACAAATGGTGCATGGCAGCAAGGACAAAGCTTTACAGAAAGGAGGAAGCCAGTGTGTTGAGGAAAACATGCTTAGAAGAGAGAAAGAAGAAAGGGAAAAGCAGGAAGACTTAAAACTCTACATGGCTGTAGCAGGTAGGTTAATGAGCCAGGGGCTGGGATCCTGGCAAGGAAAAGTTCTCTATCTCATTATAGGAAACAGTACTCCACCAGTTTCCTTCATGTGCCTTAAGGTGACTCACCCTTCTTAGGATGATTCTCGGCCAAGCAATGGCCCTAGTCATCTGGAATGTAACTTCTCTACCCAGGCCAGAAATTCAATTATTCTTACCAGTTACTTTTCTATTCTAATAGTAGTAGACTCTATGTATTTCAATAGAGTAGTGTTAAACTAATTTTTAGCTATTAAGAAATATATACTGGCATAGAAAAAATCAAGACACAATAAATGGCAATTAAAGGTTGGTCAAATAAGTTAGAGCATGTGCAAAATATAAAACAATTTCCCTTTTTAAGTTTCATCTTGGAAATTCTTTTAATGAGGCAATTATGAAAAAGACATTTGGGGATGTTAAATTGAAGTGAACATAGGGTATGGAGATTTCTGACCAAGGGCTGGAGAGATAGCTCAGCTGCTATTAAAGGTGCCTACGACTCTTGCCTGTACCATGTTATCCCTGTACATAAGTTTTGTAGCGAATGTAATCCCTCAGTTAGACTCTGTACTTGAAGTTTCTGCTGTTGCTTAACTTCAGCATTTTTAGATTGACTATGCTTTTCAGGCTTGTAGCCAAGGGAAATGTTTACGTGTGCACTACTTGAAAAGGGATTCAGCATGTAATTCAGACGACAAGTGCCAAGGACAAGGGGTATGTAGCCATTTTGTTTTTCATTTAATATGATCATTTCAATTCACTTCAAAAAACCTTTACCAGAGTCACCAGGTTCAGAATTATTTGATGTGGAAGTTCCCTCCAGAAAATTTCAGTTAAATGAGAAATGCAGATTGTACTATTGACACAGGCGTACACAACTTGTATGCACCATTAGACGGTCACAGGCCAACTGAACAAAGAAGCTCTGAATGATACAAAAAACACAGTGTGAAATATTGTCACCATGTTTGATTATTAACATATAGCCAAGTATTATCAAGCACCACACATATATGGTGCACCCATGTATCTGTGTGCTTTTTGGCAACAAAGGCGGTCAGACACTTTGTTTTAAGACATCAGAGTTTCTAGTCTATTAAGACTAGATCTGTCAATGAGCTCAGTTAATTGACTTTGTAAATTCACACACTGATAGCCTTTCAAATAACATATAACTATTAGGAATACTAAAAAAAGAAAACAGTTATAATTGTATGTTCAAATTACTCCATTTCCCCAAATTATAAGCAGTGAAATCTAATGAGCCAAATATAGGTAACATTTCCATTCTTTTTGAGAAATACTGGGAGTTTTGTATCTACACAGCAGGCATGAGAGCATGAGAACCTACATTTCTCAATATTCTGGTGAGATTGTATGATCGCTTCCAGCATGCTGAATGCATTGCTAATGGCACCTATTTAGTCACTAGTGTTTCAGTTCTACCTTCCCAGCTGTTGTGAAATTATATGGTGAGTTATGGGAGTTTGGAAGTTTTCCCAGCTTGCATTTGCTTAAAACTTACCAGTAAGTGTCTTCTTCAAAACCTGTGCTCTTTATAACAATCAAATTGGAATTCACCTAGTTTAACTCTTTTCACTTTCTGTGGTGATGACTCTGGAGTCCAGACTCTGCTCCTGACCCTCTTTTTATTTTTGCAAGAGTCTTGCCAGCCTACTGTATGAGTTAATATTTGCCTTTGGCACACTGGCTTCTTCGAAGAATTTTCTTTCATCTTCCATAGATGTTTTCTCCCATCAGAGCTTTTTTTTTCTAAATTAATAATAAAATGTAATTTATATTCTTCATAGTAGCTTTATCTTTCTAACTAGTCATTTCAATTATACCAAGAACATTATAACTTCTATTTAGAAACATGACCCACAAAAAGATAGGATTTTTAAAAACTTAATGCAAGCACATTTATTGGATCATTACTGTCTTTACTTTCATATTAAAACTGCTTAAAATAATTGCAATATTTCATCAATTTGCACATATTAATTATGGATAATAAATGACTTTTCTGTGTATACATATATAAGCACTTGGTTGCTCAGTTTTCATTTGGATCTGGTTTCAGGTTTGCAACAATCGAGACCACTGTCACTGTGAACCTGGCTTTGCCCCTCCGGAGTGTGACATGACACCTTCATCTCCAGGAGGGAGCTTAGATGATGGATTTTGGCTGCCCCTGGGTTAGTGTCTAGAGCAGGGCCTGCATGTGTGTAAGTACACTCCATCTCAGCAGCTCGATGTGGCCATTGAAGACTTGAAATTTCAGGAGAACAACTGAGAAATTGATATTTCTACTCTGCTTGACTTCATTTAAATTCACAGAATCACGTGAGGCTATTTTGAATCTAATCTAGAAGTGTGAATATTTAACAGGCCATCTTCCTCTGATTTTTGTCGTGGCCTGCAGAGCATTTCTAGCATGCTTTTCTGCATAAACATGAGTGTCAGAAACAAGGAGAACTTACTACAGTCTGTATTGCCCCAGGGAGTTATATGTAAAAATGTGCTGGTTTACAGCTGAGTTGCATGTTTAAAAACTGTGTGTGTGCACATGCATGCATAGTGTGTGTGTGCTTGCACATGCATGCATGTGAGGTGGGGAGAGAAGAATGAGTTTGGGGATGCCTGAGATAACCAGAAGAAGAAATCAGATTCCCTGGATCTGGAGTTATAGGCCTAATGGTGAGTGGCCCAGTGTTGGTGCTGAGAAGCTAATTCAGGTCCTCTAGAAGAACATTAACTGCCTACCCACTGAGCTATCTCTTCAGCCCTGGCATGTTTAAAATTAATTGTTCTATTTAATGTGAAAAGTACCCAAATCTTCAATATCCTCAGATCGTGAATACCATATGCCACTAAAACACTTTAAAATGCATTTGGCAGAAAGTCATGAACAACCACTGCCCAGTTGACTTTATCAGATCTGTTCTCTACAGTTAGAATTCTATGCTGCCATATACACTATCTGTGTGGAGTCAAGTATGTCAATGTATCCATTTTATTTATAATTAATTATATGTATAAGTAACTTACTATAGGAGCTTGGTGCAAAAGGAGCTACAGACTGTAAGGTTAAAGTAAGAAAAATGTCTCAGGAAAGCTGTTAAAATGCACTGCCTCAACCAAATAGGATGGATTTTTTTCTTAGTAGATAAACTAGAGAAAGATTTACTTTTTTAATTTAAGGAAATATTTCGTTGAAAAATTACATTAATTGTTAAATTGTTGATATCCTATATTATAGTTATAGTATACTAATCTGTTAATTTATCTTAATCTGTGTCATGTCAGTTTCATTTCTAGATTTAGCAAATCAAATCTTATTCTCACTGATTTTATTTTTCTTCAATTCTTATGTATTTAAGGCTATAGCTATACAGGTAAATATTTCTTAGATATGTAAGACTTTAAATACCAAAGTGCATATGACTTTTGATATAGCATATCTTTAAAAAATTGCAAAAATTTTATGGTGTATGTGTATGCACATGTCTGTAAACATTCATGCACAGACCAGAGCAGGGCCTTGGGCCCAGTCTTTTGTTGCTCTCTGTCTTATTTGTTGAGATGGTGACTGTCACTGAACCTGGAGCTCTCAACTTTAGCTAGACTGGCTGGCCAGTCTCTACCTACCAACACTGGGCCACCTTCTGTTTTACTTGGATTCTTTTTATTGCAAGCAACTGAATCCAAGAAGCACTGAGTTCTGGATTACTGACTGATCTTGTCAAGGGTTTATGCAGGTAACCATAGTCACAGCAAGTCACTCCAGACGAGGGCACCTCAGCACACTCTCCCCAACCTCTGGCCTCTGGCTCTTCCATTCTTTCTGCCCAGTCTTCTCTGAGGGTTGAGGGCAGGTCTTGATATAGATGTTCTTTTTAAGACTAGGAGATAACTCAACAGCCACTTACTCCCCAGCACCTTGGCCTCACTGATCATCCTCATGTTTCTACTCTTACCTTCTTTTTCTTTTGTATTGTACCCTTGGGAATTTATCTAATACAACCTCACCAGACTCCATCACTATGGAATTAGTAATGATTTTCACACCTGGATTTTTTCATGTTTCCTTAGTATTCTGTGTTGAGAATCATAAGAGTCTAGGCCATTGATTGGAAGTTTTTAACGACCCACTTTGAGAGAATGGAGTTGAAAATCCTCAGAAACAGAACAGTTGTAAAACAACAGAATGCTTTCTACGAACAATTAAATCCAAGGGTGAAGATTTTTGAAAAAAGAAAAAAAGCTTCAGGCAACATCGTTTTTCTTGCTAAAATGTGTGGTGTTTATCTCTCTGATTTAAGAGACCAAATAGTTCCATGTAAAAGAATGATGGAATTCATATACTATACATAAGAATTAATTCAAAATGAGACAACATTATAAAAAGTAACACCAAGAAGTCATAGAGGACAAAACAAAGTAATTTAGATCACTCACTGGTCTGCATCAATCACAGTTTTTGAAAAGTTAAATGGCTCTTTTGAATTTCAGACAGAAGGACACCTTTGGTTGTCAAGCGGCGTGATACTCGCTTTAAAAAGGGACTTCTGATTAGTTTATATGTTTTTCTGCCTTTCCTCATCATGATCGCCATCATTGTTATCAAGTGGAATATCACACACAGTTTCTGGAAGAAGGAAGAGGCTATAAGTGGAGGGTAAGTATACATGTTAATATCAAAAATGCACTATATGGCAGTATCTGAACCCAGCTAAGTAATGTAAGTATGGCTTTTTGGATAAACGGTTGATTGAAAAAACTGCTAGAACTACTGAACAAAAGGTTTTCAGGACATACCAAAGCTTATTTCGATTTTCTGATGGGCAGCCTTTCATGGCCTGATGTGTCAAAGACACTTGGAGCAACCCAATAAATCCTCAGGACTTTTCAAATGGAAATTTCCCAGGCAAGCCAAGTGTCTTCACATTGCAAGTCCTTTTTACACTCAGGGAATCAATAGAGACAAATTGGGAGCACATCTGCAAATAGTACATGTAGAAGGCGAGAAAAGTGAGCGTGCCGAACAAGGCAGAGCAAGTCTGGGAGCATTGCTACAGAATGTGAATGCATTAATTATCACTTATGTGTTTCTAAACTGCAACTAAGGTGTTGTGCAGCTTCTGTTTCAGTCATAATATCAGTGCAAGACACACTTTGCTTCCTTGGGATTCAGAGAAATTGGAATGCTGAGGCAAGGGTAAACAGGGGGTCTTGTAGTCCTGACCTGTAAGAAAACAATGATGCCTAATTACCAACACCATCTCTAGTTCTCAGATTAGGCAAGGAGCTGACAGCCACTCTGTAGTGTCAGGGCAATGTTCCTGATGATTTAAGTAGACATCTACACAATAATCAAATTGTTTGAGACACCAAATCACATGGCAACTGGCATAAAGATTCCTACACCATTGGGACATATTGGAATAATCTGGATAATTACCAGATATTTTGACTGCTGGCAAAACTGCCACAGTAAGGAATCATGGTTTCACAACAATGACAAAACCATGTCAAAGCAGCATGAGATACAAATATAGGTGGTTTCAGGTTAGCAAGAGGCCAACCTGAAATGGAGCTGAGACACAGAGTGTTGCTCTCAAGCACTCCATGGATGGTGATTGCTGTGCCCACTCTTGACTGGCACATTGGGGCCAATCTTTGATTCCTTTGCAAACAGATATCCAAACACCTGTCCATGCTCACAACCTATTAGGTCATATTCTCCAGACAGAGCAGTAAAGAAGTTTGCAAAAATTGCCTAAAGTGACCTGTGCTCTACTTGGATTCATGGTCCCTGGTTAGGTGTTCCAACCTGATGCCACCATATGTGACCCGGGAAGCCCTTGACCATTATAATGACCTGCCCAGTGTATTATCCATGAGTGTTTAAGGAATCAAGAGGCTCTCTAATACCACTACTGTTGTTACATGTAGTTGAAAGATCTTATTGGAAGCCTTATTGATGAAGGCAAATCCATGTAAATAATTATGCATAGCTACTTGGTGGGAAAAAAACTAGATTGGTAAGAATTTGAAGATATACATGTAGTCCTATATAAATATTAACAGCTGCTTTGACAGTTATTTTAATATCTCATCCATTTTCATGTAGACAAGATAGAAGGGCACAGTGGTTAGACTATTTTGAAATCCAAAGATATAAACAAATACATAAATAATAACCTAGAAAAGCACATAAAGTCTTTGAAAGTTAGGATTTGGAAAGACAAAACACTGGAATGTCTTATCCTTAGCTGTCATGGGCAAAAAAGGTATTGATACACAGCATCGATCATTTAGTTCAAATCTGGCTTTTGGCATTTTTTTGTGATTTTTTTCTTAATGACAATGTTTATAACCCTGAAAACAACCCTATCTCTTTTGTACAGATCAACTTCAGAAGACAGTAATAAAGCAGAAGGCAGCATCCAGTCATAGAGTCAAAGGTGACTGAAGACATCCATTTGCTGAATGTTGTAAATGTGCTCTGAGCAACCCCTCAGTAGGAGTACAGAGCTGTTTTGGTATTTCCTAGGGCAGATTCCTATTTGCTAGTTTCACATGCTAGCTTCAACAAGGCTAGGAGAAAGCGTTTGCTCTTAGTATTGTTTTAAATTGGTTTGGAAAGCTTCAGTGAAAACTTCTAGTAATCTGATCTTTATCAGCAATATCTTGTAAGGCATTTTCATTTTCTGCAAACAAACACATCTCTTCATTGAAGGATGTAGTTTGCAAATATATAGGAGGTTGTCCTCTGACATTTACATATTCTTCTTCATCACTGAGGCTTTATGGGAATTGTGACCCTGCTTTACAAATGAGGAAGTAGATAAAGAAATTGTAACACCACCTCGTGCTGACAGGATGTCATTAAATTGTGTGGTTCTAGTTTAAGGCAGGCATGCCTCTCAGTTTCAAACTGTCAGAACCAACTTGACACATGCATTTCACTATATACGTGGAAACAAGGGGTGGAATTTATGTTGATGGAGGACCAGGAAACATATGGGCATGACTTCTTGCAATAGAGACAATTCTTTGTCATAAGACAACATAAAGGAGATAACCATATGTATTTTACAAAATTTTGACTCGTTTATGTAAAATTAAAGGTATTTCATATCCTTCACCTGAACAAGTAGGAAAATTCCAAAGCTCAACAAAGCATCACCTGAAACACCCTTCAATTACATGTCAGCCATTACACCTGACTCTGATAGCTAAGTACTCGACAAAGTAGGAGCCATATGTAGATATTTGAGTGGTAATGTTTATGTGTGTGTATTTGGGGGTGGTAAGTTTGACCTTTGATCCTTTGTAGGGGAGGCTGCTCTAGTGATGTGCACAGGGGGTTGGGAAACACTTTTTATCAAGTAGGAAAAGATTGCGTTCTGCATCACTTCTTTTTCTTGTCGATGGTTTTCTATTTTTAAAGTTATTGCTCTTTAAAAAATATATATTTTTACTACAAAGCTACAAAGAGAAACCCTGTCTCAAAAAACCAGTATATATGTATGTATGTATATAAAACCACCCACAAAACAATCATAGACAGGCTTTAGGATGTCATGATAAGAGACTTCATTTATCCACATGTGAATGGATATATATATATGTATATATATATATATATATATATATTTACATCACTCCCCCTTCCATTCCCTCCCTCCAAGCTCTCCCATAAACCCCTCTCTTTGAAATTCAGTCTCTTTCTTCATTAATTTTTGCATGCTCCGTCTGCACATCATCCCTTGTATGTATTATTTCAGGGCTGGCCATTAATATCAGATAATCACTTGATGTGCTCTTCCCCGGGTGAGGCTGTTTGTCCTGCTCTCAGCTTCCCTTAGTTACCTATAGTTCTTTGTATAGGGCTGTGGCCTCCTGAGCTTTCCCTCACCTACTTTGGCATGTCTACTGTTGTCTTCCTGCAGCTCATGTCTAGGCAATCCTGTTAGTGGGATGTTTATGCATGTAGCTTCTGACACCACTAAGAGACACAATCTCAACAGCAAACTCCCTGGGGCTCCTTTGGTTCTTACAGTCTTTCTGTCCCCTGTCCTACAGTGTTCCCTGAGCAAGGGAGTGTTTTGTAGATCATCAGGACTAGATTCCTCAACTCTGCATTTGATTGGCTGTGGTTTTCTATGATGGTCTTTGTTGTAAGGAGAAGCTTCCTTTCTGAGGAGTAAGGACTACACTTACCTGTGTGTATAAGTACAGATATTTGAAATGTAGTTAGGGATAATGCTGGTTTAGTAAAGTGTTGGTTCTAGGTTCTTTTTCAAGATCCATGACTTAAGCAGTCCTTGGTAGTTGGCTTGGTTTCAAATATCAGGCATGATTTCCCTCTTGTTGAGGGAATCTTAAGTCCAGTTAGAGAGTTGTTGGTTACCACCAAGGTATGCATGCCACTACTGCACTCTGAGGGTCACTGTGCCATGCTAGTGTTATCATTCATGGGCTTCATAGCTAGGTAGGGGTGTTGGTTGCTTCCTTCCTTTGGAAGTTTGCATGGTGCCTTTTGATACTATGAAAGCCAGTTCTCAAGAAGGGAGTATTCAAGTCAGTTCCAGCTCAGGAGCCTCTGGGCTTTGTGTCTGAAGAGCATGGTGTCTTCAGCAATAGGGTCATACATTCTAGATGGTTTTCTTTTACTCAAGTAAAGTTTAGGAAATTTAGCTGAAACAGGTAAAGCCCATCTGACAACATGCCCTTTCCATGCAGCCATTGCAAACTAGTTACATACAGAACAAAGTAAACTGAGAAAAAAAATTAGTTTACGAAGTATGTGGATCATAGACAGAGAAGACCAGAATAAGTACAGCCACGTACTTTGTTATGTCATTATGTTAATTTATTAAATTTCTATACCTATAGTTGCATAGTATGAATTGTATAGCTTTTTAATAATGATGAGAATTTTATAATGATGAGAATAATGATGAATGAAGCTTTTCTATTTGCTGTGTTGTTTTTTTCCCCCTAAAAGCAGTTATGCAACATCAAACCACAATGGAAGAAGTACAAGAAACTCTTACGTGGTGTTATCCAAGAATATGGACCAGGCATTTCTTTTTCTGTGACTTACAGATTTCAGTTTTACATACCTCCAAATAAAACCTGTGGCTGAAAGTATACAGACTTGTGTCTGCTGATTCTTCCCTCTGAGCCAGGGAGATAAACATTCTAACCTGAGAACATTATCTACTGCTACTACCACCCATGTTCCCAAAGCCAAGAGCAAGCAAGCACTACAACCTATTCCTCTCCAGTCACCTGCCTGCTCTATCGTGTCAAGTTTTGGATGCCCAGAGGGAGGTTTGATGGATGGGCGTAATTCCTGCAGGTCCCAAATAGTCACTAGAGTCCTTTCTCTTTTAAAAAGGAATTTCCTAAACTGAGTTCCTGATCATAGACAGTGACCCTATGATCCTCTAAACACTGAGATTTAGGGTATTTCATGGAATTTGGTGTTTTGTGGCTATTTCTGCATTGAAACATTTCTCTTGATGGAAAGAGCCATGACTCAGGAAGCTCACTTTCAGAAGTTGTAAGGTAAGGCTCAGATCCCTCCTCCCCCTATGATTGTTAAGCAGAATAGATCACCTGAGCACAGGCGGGTTCTCTTCAGCTGCCTGTAAGCCAGGCACAGAGTTCTAGGGGTGTATCTTTCATGGATAATGACCAAGCTCACACAGATGGGCCTTCTGCTTGATGCATCTGACTTGGTCCTGCAAGTAACTCCAAAACACTAGCTGCTTCACCAACCTAATCTTGGGTTGAATTGTGTGTCTGTAGTCTGAGTTGAAACTTTGTTCCTAACATGTTGCAGCCTTCACGGTCCGATTCCCCTCTTAGTTTAGGTTGAGAGTACATCTCCACATCTTCAACATTATTCCTGAGTTAGTGCAGTGCTCATCAACTCAAGTTTGGTCGTGACCTAGAGCCTTTGACAGAAGCAAAGATGATCCAAGCTTCATTCCAGAGACCCAAATGCTCCTTTTTCAAATGCCCCCCCCCAGCTGATAATGGATAAGTGTGGAACATCCACTGAACAGAGTATTATTCAGCATTTAAAAGATCAGACCGCTATATCACTAAAAGATATCACTATAGATTGGGTGAACCCTGAAGTCATCATGCTGAAAAGCCTATCAGATAGGTCTGGTGTCACACATTTGGAAAGGCAAGAATTAGTTTACAACTAGTAAACAATTTAGGGCTCCTAGTAGCTGGAGATGAGGAAATGATGCAGGGGTAAAGTCTGTAAGACACAGTGATTATCTAGGGGGTAATAAATTCTAAAATTCACAGTTAACCATTGTATATATTCACAGATTAACACCACACTTTTCTACACTGCAAGTGCATGAATCATGTAGAATATGAATTATAACAAAACACAAATGTCCAGAAGACACAAAATCTTTTAACTATACATTTCCTCTTTCCTCACTGCCACAAATACTGCATCCTGGTAACTACAGCTCTGCCTTATTTTAGTAATAGTTTCTTAGTTATTAGCAGTTTCTACCTGACTCAGTTTTCACAGTGGCCTAAAGCTTGTTATTTTTGTGTTTGTGGGCCCCAGGATGGTGTACTACAGTGACAGGTGTCAGAGCACCATGGATGATGCAGGAGAGATGGGCTTTGAGTGTGTGGAGTTTGACATCCTTGGGAACGCAGAAGGCAGTAGAACATCCCTTGTTCCATAGGCCCTGGCTGCCCTTCCCATGTCTACAGTTTCCAAGTGTATAGGCTAACTGGGATGGCTAGTTTTCTGTCCATTTTATTCAAGCGAGGGTCATATGGGAAGAGGGGCTCTCAATTGACAAAATCCTCCCATGTAGGCAAACCTGTGGAACATTTTCTTGATTGACAATTGGTTGGAGGACCCAGCTCACTGTGGGCGTTGCCACTCCCGGGCAGGTTGTTGTACATGGTGTAAGAAAATAAGTTGAGCAATCCATGGGCAACTAGCCAGTAAGCAGCACACCTCCATGGTCTCTGCATCAGTTCCTGCCTATAGTTCCTGTCCTGACTTCCTGGAAAATGGTCTAAGTGTTTGATGGACTCATGTTGCTTTTGGTCGTGGTGTTTTGTTACGGTGATAGCCACCTTAACAAAACATGTGTAAGTGACATTGTAAGACAGCCTTGCTCCCCTTCCCTCTACCAATTATACGCTAGTACTGTAAGAAAGGAAGACGGGAGAGGGGTGCTTTATGCTTCATGATTGCTTTGCCTAGATCAAGTTCTATTTAGGTATTTGTCACGTTGATAATTAATAGGCGCATTTCTAGCTTGCTTTACATCCTCCATCACAATACAAGAAAAACGCCAGAAAACTGTAGAGAGGACAAAAATATCCAATCAAGACGAGCTATGCTTGTTTGTACTTTTGTGCCTACTGTAAGGGCCTGAGCTAGAAGCTAATGTCTGTCCTGTGTCAGGTGGAGGCACTGAACCTCGGGCGAGCCCTTGGTGGGCGGTCTCCCACGCTGCCCACGTGCCACCTCGGCTGCCAACCGTCTTGAGCTCACCTGTGCTTTCTGCTCTCCCATTCAACCATGCCTCTGCTTTTCATACTCGCCGAGTTTGCCATGCTGTTAACCCACCTCGGTAAGGCCCTGCGAGCATCTCACTCCTTCCATTTTGTGTTCCCTTAGCTGAGAGAGGATACCATTGTGTTCCTGGATTCCTGCTGATGCCCTTCCTCCATCTTGCCCCATCTCTGGCCCCACTCCAGGTCCCACCCCATACCCCGCCCCAGCCCGAACCAGGTGAACCCAGGATAAACATGGTGGCTTCTGCTCTATATTCCTATCTGGACTAACAGCAGGAAATCCAACTAGTCTTTCGAGTTCCCTGTATCCTGGGAAGTGGGGTGCAGTGCTTGTGCACCATCAGCACCCTCTCTGATTGCTCCCCAGATCCCTGAGAGACTCCGGCCTCAGCATGATTCTGAGGAGGAACAGGGTGGCCAGGTTGAACGTTGTGTCTTTTGTGTATATCTAAATCATTTCAGTGGGTCGTTAGCATGCCATTGGAAGTTGTGCATTGAGGAAGAGAGGGGGTTTATTACAAGCAAGTTCGTTGGCCTTACTGGAGCTCTGAGTGTGCTCAGGAACGCTGGCTGGAATGGGAGTATTATGATCAGGAAAATAAACCAAAACAAAATTCAAAACCCCAAACAACAAAAGATACGTTCTGTTTTTTGCTGCAGATTCCGAAGGAATATGTCTGCATGTCACTGTGCCAGTGAGGATAGAGCCACGCAAGGTCGGAGTTTCAGAAGGAAAGGTCAGTCTTCCAGGTTTCCTACTCACTACTCAGGTCTGAGGGTGACCTTTGGTTGACCATTGCATTGGTCCAGAGCACCCTCCATTGTAGTCACTTGCACAGCACAGCCTTTTGTTTCTGTCCCCGAGTCCCCTGCCTCCTCATTGTCTCCCGTGCCTCTTCCCTCTCCCTAACTCTTTTGAAAGTCTTTTTGCTATTGTTGTTGTTCTTAAGTTTCAAGAAATAGTGAATATTTCCCAGTAATCATTCTGGTAGAAAAAAAACAAACAAAAATATAAAGCAGATTAATGTAAAATTTGCATGACGATGACCCAACATGTGAATTAAAAGCATTGTTAGTAGCTACTAAACAATAAATTGATTTTTAGTAAAATTTGGACATGTAGAATTAGACAAATGTCAGCACAAGCAGAATTAATTTAGAGTTAGGATTACATATACGTGTGTGTGTGTGTGTGATACACATATTTTCTTTCTCTATATGTGTGTGTGTGTGTGTGTGTGTGTGTGTGTGTGTGTGTGTGTGTTATACAGACAGGCTGGGAGATAGTTTGCCTGCCTTATTCTAGATAATGAAGGCCCTAACAGCCATTATGCAGTAGGAAATGCTTTTCATCACTGAGAAAAGGGAGGGTTCAATTCTTGACTGAATTTTGACATATTTTTTAAATTTGGAATTATGTATTCTTTTCTTTTGATTTTTTAAAATTTAGTCATGGGGGCTGGAAAGATGGCTTCAGTGGTTAAGGCACACTGACCACTCTTCATTGTGGCAGTTCACCACTCTCTGTAGTTCCAGTCCCAGGAGAGCTGATACCTTCTTCTGTCCTTCCCAAGCATTGGCCATGTCTCCTGCACAGACATACATGCAGACAAAACACCCACACACATCAAACAAAGAAAATAAATAAAATTATTCAAAATTTACTTACCTACCCCACTGTGCCTGTGTGTGGGTGTGACTGGATGCATACATGCCAGGGTCCCTTTGTGAAGCTTAGAACAATCTGAGGAAGCCACTTCTCTCCTTCTACCCCTGACAGTCCTAAAGACAGAGCTTAAACTGTCAAGCGTGGAGGCTGCTACCTTTACCTGCTGAGCTATCTTGACAGCCCTTATTTGCAGTTCTTGAAGCTGCTTTTACTATGATAGAGTCTACTTCTGAAAATGATTTTTAAACCTCCATTGAGCTATTCAGATATGTAAGAGTACATATATGGAATGTACACTTTGACGAGTATTGGCATCTGATTTACCATTAAGACAATCAATTTACTAAATTGACATGCTTTCTAAACTTGCCTTATGTACTTCGGTGCTTTTATTTGTGTGTGGAACATGAACATACAATCTACCTTCTTTAACAAATATTTACATGCTGTGTGTGCATCAGTTCCCTAGAGCTGATTCATATTGCATAACTTAAACTTTATACCCTTGAAGCCACAGTTCTCTAATTTTTCCCTCTCTCTGGAGCCTGACAACCAACATTCTCTTGGGTTTCTCTTAAGTTTGGCTTTTGTAGACACATCATGTAAGCACAGCCTTATATTGATCATTCATTAACTGACATATTTTACTTAACATTGCAGTGTCTGGATTCATCCAAGTAAATAACAGCTCTGCCCAGGTCTGGGTTATGAGTCTCTGATTTACAACTGTGTGTTCTTGAACTTCCTGGGTGTGTCTACTCATCAGCAACACTACCTGTGTCTCCCACAAAGTTCACAGGTTCCATTAGTTTAGCTTGTAATAGAGTTGCTGGTTTGGTGTCTGCATCTGTAGACACACACACACACACACACACACACACACACACACACACAGTGACTCTGCAATCACTTCCCAGTTTGCTTGGTTTTGTGTAACATGGAGGAGGAGGAGGATAAACATTGTTGTTACTTAGTAACTCCTGATATTTGGGAGCCCCATACCGGGGCTATGGCATTGCTTAGGCTGTTTTTTAATCCTTTGTAGTTTTATATGTTGGAAGTTATGTATAATATAATATGCATCTGTTTATAAATTGTTTATTTGTTCATTATATTTGACATATAACACAAGCCCTCAACCATTCCTTATTTACTTTTATTAGAAATGCATATATTATCAGATAAAAGAAATTGATAGAATATCAGTAATGCTAAATTACATTTTTCAAGATATATTCCTTTTTAAACATTTCAATCAACAAACTAAATCACACTCTTCCAAAGTCAACCAACTCTAAAATCTTACTAATTAACACAATGGATTCTAAAGAATATGTTCATTTTTAATGTGCTGAGATATTTTTATTAGCTTGAGTGAAAAATAGTGTCTTACATCGAATATGTCTGCATTACTAAATTATGTATCAATTTGCTCTATTTTAGGTGATTTATGTCATTACAATTGATGGGAAACCCTACTCTCTGCATCTCAAGAACTAGTAAGATGTATTTTTTTCTTTTAGAAAAAGTAAATATCTATGCCCAGTTTTTACTCGTTTAAAGTTTATATCCAATATTTAAATTCAGTAGTGCAGCATAATGGTCAATCCACTTTCCAATTTGGGTTTATTAAGTCCTGAATTTTAGGTGTATGAAGCTCTTGTATTCAAATTTTCAGATTTACATCTTAAATTGAGAAATAAATTATATATTTGGAACTCTTCAGTTAGGTATTCCCTTGTACCCAAGCATGGTTAGTTGCATGGATTTCTAAAATCAAATACAGTCAGTAATCAAGTGGCTGTTGTTGGAAAATTCAGGTGGGGTCAATTTTAGGGTACACTAAGTATTTCAATGACTTAAAACAACCTTCCTTAGTAAGTTTTACATATAAAAAATCTCCTGAGTCAGCTTCAGCAATCTCAGTGCTGTGCAGTAGTGTTTCTGTGGTTAAATAACAGCTCTCTTGTAATTTTGGTCCATGTCTGTTCCCACCCACAATTCAAAACACCAATCAATCTTTCTATATCATCATTGCATTTTCTCAGCATTTTCTATAAGAAGGATCAGGTGGTCTCTTTGTAGCCTCAGGGATTAACAAAGATGTCTAACAACTGTTGTTTGTCTTCCTTTTTGCTTTGTGGCTGAGCAAGGCTGCAGAAGTTATCTTCATCCATGACATCTGCCAACCTTACACTGGCCTTTCCTTCTTCTGCAATGCATTCCACTAAAAATGATTAGAAATTTTGATAAAGTTATCACCGTCCTTCAGGATTATTTTCAATATCATGGTTGTATTTTAGTCTTCATTTAGTCATTTATTTTCTACCAGTTGATGACATTTGTCATAATTGATCAATATCTTTTCCATAAAATGCTTTTCCCATTGGACTCTAGAATATCATCACTCCCTGGCCCTGGTTTGACTCTTACCAGTATTCCTAATTATGTCATTTTTCTCTGCACCACCTCTTTGCAGATTCTTCTTCACCATTATGATCTGAAGATACAAAATGAATCTTATGTCAAATGTGTATCAGTCAGCTACTGTTTTAGTTCAGTCTTGTGGCTATGTGTGTGTTCACTGACCATTAGCTGCTTGTGATTTATAACCATACATGATTCCATTGCAATGGGTGCTGCACTCATTTAATACTTATTTCATAATCACATGTTTTTACAATTCCTGTTGCTAACTTGCTAAAAGTGAACCTCTGATGCTCTCCCCAAATCTGCATTTCTCATAACCATCTTAGTAAATGGCAAGTCATCTCTTCTGGTTTTCAAAAAAAAAAAAAGAAAGAAAGAAAGAAAAAGGAAAAGGAAAAGAAAAAGAAAGGAAATAAAGAAGAAAAATATATTCTTGGCATCTCTTACTTTTGCCTTTCCCAAGGTCCAGTGCTTTATGTAAGCCCATGTGGGCCCCACAATGATTTTCATCATCATTCAAGACTCCATCAGGGATGGCCTGGGTATTAGTCTTCTGACTGGCCTCAGCTTCTGTGTATTTGCAGATTGTTCACAACATAGCATTGAGTTTGGCTCTGTTAAAATGTTGGCCTGCTACTATCTTCATTTACCCCAACCCTCTGGGACTGCACTCACCATCTTTCTTGTTACTGCACATAGTACCCATTGTTACACTTCATATATGCAAACCTATTTCTGGCTCAAGACTCTTTCATTTTATCCCAACTCTTTGTGAAAGTCCATATGGCTTGTTCTTTGTGTCTACTCATCTATTTCATGAGCTTTGTCATGTCATCCCATATACTTTGGTGTTATCACCCTATAACAACCAGGCCTTGTTCATATAACAATACATTACTCTGACTGTCTGTTGTTTAGCACTATATTCCAGGGACCAGAGAAGGGACTGTCATGTGGTGGACATATTTGTGAGTATTTGTTCATGAAGACATACACAGAAATACCTGATAGTGCTCTCCAAGTGTTGAGCTCTCCTGACTCTGCCCATATATCAGTTTTTAAACAGAATTAAAAAATATATACCACACTAAAATTACTGTAATTAAATCATGCTATTATAGTAATCTATTGCACTTAACATTGTTTTATTAGTGTGTATTTTCACTTTAAATGATGACTTAAATTCTATTTGTTGGTTTCTTCTAGCTCATTCTTATCCCAGGATTTTTTGGTTTATACATATAATGAAACTGGATATTTGTATGATGACTCTTCACACTTTATGGTAAGAATCAGAATGTCTTAATATTTGTTATCTTTTATTTTGTTGTTCAAAGGGATGTACAGTACACTTAGGTTATGGTCTCCCTTTTAGACATTGTTTTCGTTTGCGGAGATTGAACCCGGGCCTTTGTACATCCTAGGAAAACCCTATCATTGTGCTACTTTCCAAGCCCCATGTTGACACTAATTCAAATATTTTACTCCTTGGAACTGTGACCTGTTGTGTGGATGACTTCTATACATGGGAAGGTGGTAGAAAAATGGAGAAACACACATGGGCCAATTAAAGGAAGCCCCTCAAATCTTATTTCCTGAGAGTTTGCATTAAAAATTCTACATAATTCATGATTTAATATTATCAAATCTTTTGCTATGGTGAGCCTTCTAAAATATTTGACAGCACAGTTTTGTTGTTGTTGTTGTTGTTGTTAAAATAATTTGTTTCTTTGCCCATGTGGTCTGCAGACACATTGCCATTACCGAGGATACATTGATGAATATCCAAACTCCACGGTGACACTCAACATCTGTTCTGGCCTCAGGTAATAACAGGTTCTCTTCATTCATGTTAACATCTGAACTTTAGTTGTTACTCAAACTAATGCATTGAGGGCATCCTGAGTGGAAGTGTTTCCAGGATGCTGGGCAGGAAGGTATAGTTTGGGAAATGAGAACTTTAGAACACTTTAACAAGGTGGTTCTCATAAATGGGTTGTGACCCCTCCCACAAACCTCTATCTACTGTTATGAATCATAATGTAAATATTTTTTGGAGATAGAGGCCATTGGTCAGCTTTTTATTTTTGAATTCTATATAAGGTAAGAGAGAGATTTACATTAATCTTCTACTAGCAAATATCTAGTTTTCCCAACAATGTTCATGAGAATGTCAGATTTTCCTCCAACCTAAGATGTTGGCCTCTTGTCAGGAATCACTTGGCTATAGATGTGTGGGCTGATTTCTGGGTTCTTGGTCCTACCCCCATTGGTCTATACATCTGCCAATAACAAGGCATTCTATTACTATAGCTCTGTAGCATCACCTGAAATTCTGTATTTTGATACTTTAAGATTTCTGGATTTGCTCACAATTACTTGGATGATCAAGGTCCTTTGTCCTTCCACATGAATCTCAGTTGTTTTTTCCAATATTTAGATTTTTTAAAATAGAGATTTACAAAATCTATAGATTTCCTTTGGTATTGTGTCAGAATCTCTCCTGTCTGTGACTGTCTCTTGTATTTGTGTTTCACTCAGTCACTGTGGCAAGGTGTCTCTAGGGGCCCCAAACTGTGCCTTTTCTTGTTTCCTGACCCAAAGAATAGTGTGTTTCCCCAAAGCAGTGCCTTTTCTAGATAGTTCCTGGTTATAGTTTTCAGTGATGCTGAGAGATGGGAGGAATTTGTTATCTGAAGGAGTCGTCCCTGCCAGGCCACATTTTACATGGTATAAAGCTTATAAGAATTGGGGATTACTCCTGTACCAGGCCTGTTGGTCTGTTGTTAGCATTGCAGCGGTGAGCTTGTACCATGTCTCAGCTTGGACTTTTTGGGTCCGGGCTCCACCCACTGCAAGGGAGCCAAGCTTGAAGCTGCCTATGACTTTGTATTTTGCTCCAAGTTGCCTTTCTGATTCCATTTCTCTCTTTTCCCAGAGCACCTCCCCTTTCTTCTCTCCAGAGAACTTCTCTTGTTCCTCTTATTCCCTGAAACATATGAAGTGGACTTTAATTTTGTCCCACTGTTCCAGGACCTAAATAGATCTGGTATTCTAATACTGTCTTTTAAAAGGAGTGTAGTTCAGCATAGGGTGGTGTGTGCATGTGATCTCAGCACTTTGTATCAGAGGCAAAATGATCCAAAGTTTGAGGCTACTCTGAGCTATTCTTCAAAATTAAGACCAATAATGGTGGTTTTAAATAGTGGTACCTGCAAAAGCAAGTCAGGGGAAAATATATAAAATCATTTGTTTCACCATGGTTTCTTGTTTCTCACATTCCAGATGATAGCTTGGTGGGGGAAGTGCTGTGCATGGTTTTGGTAATGATTGCCTTTCTGAATTCAGGGGATTCCTGCAGTTTGAAAATATCAGCTATCGAATTGAACCACTGGAATCTTCAGCCAAATTTGAGCACATAGTTTATCAAGTGAAAAATGGCAATCCAACGCTAGCAGAAAATTACAGCCAGATTTGGCAAACAGACCAGCTTGAAACAGGTCATTTCATTGCACAGGTAACCATTGGGGTTCTGATGGTAAAGAACACCAGGGAATCAATCCTGTCATTCATCAGTCATGAAGAGAGACAAGACCTATGAGTATAAATAATACATTTCATACCTTTTTTTTCTATGCCTTGACATAAAGCATTCACATTTCACACAACCTGGAAGATCACCTAGTATTATTCTTCACATTTGCTGCCTTATGATGCACTTGTTTTCATGTTGGTAATTTTCAAAGAAAATATTTGTTATTGAAAACTATTGAACAATGAAGGAAGAATAGCCACTATTTCCAGTAGCCTGCTGAAAGTGCTTTCAACATTTCATATGTAGCTTTACAAACTAATTGGAGATATTTTCTAATAGACAATCATTTCTATATTACTGAAAATGGAAAGAAATGTTAGTAAGCTTTTAGCATCAATTAAACTATGATTTAAATAGGGTTCATCAATAAGCTTACCTAGGAAGTACTGTTACATAGAAATAAGAAAATTAGTTGAGGGGCTCTGTGGTGATATCTTGCTTGTACAAATAAAGCATATCTGAAGATCAGAGGATGGAGCTTGCCACTAATAACTATAGAGGTCTGTAGGTCTGTACAGAAACAGGAAGTGAGATGGCTGGGCAGAGAGTGTATATAAGCAGGAAGAAACAGAAACTTGCTCTCAAATTCATGGCTTCTTATTTTT